GCCATTCACTAGTCACCTACTTCTATACATAGGGGCAACAACTCGAGTTCAAGTGCCTCACTGACAACCCAAAGTCTCAAGCAAAAACTACTGATCAGTCTAACAAATGTTCAGCAATATATGTACAGAGTTACTAAAGCATATTTATCATTATCTAGACATCACCAAGTTTGTCAAGGGAGACACAACCGATGAGGTGAAGTGAGAATCGGTCACGTACTTGCAGTTTTCCGAGTCCAATCTCGTGGATGAATTAACGAAAAGCTTCTCCAATGTCCGAAATCCCGCATTATTGTTGTGATTACAATTATCATTAGCAGAGTCGGATTTGTGAACAGGACTCCTGCTGCTACGTCTTCTTTTTCCTGATGACTTCCAACGTAACCGGGCAAGGAGTTCATCTTTTGTGAGGTCTCTGAAAGGCTGACGTTCTTTTGTCACCTTCTTCTCATCTCTATTTATTAACTTAATCTTGTATTGCGTTGAAGGGGCTTTGGGAATGGCGGCAGGAACATCTATTTTATCAGGTGAGGCGGCACTTTTGTGAATGGCGGTATCAGGTGTTTTGCTCGTAAAAGATAATTTCGAGACAAGTTCCGGTCTTTCCTTAATATTGTGCCAACTATTGTCAAGCCATTCCTTAGAGGGCCTCAAATCAGCAAGTGCTAGCTGGAGCTCCTGCTTTTCCTCTGGATTTTTTTTTTTAAAAAAAAAAAAGAAATTACTTTAGCATGCCACTTTTATATGTAGTTCGGGTTACGGATAATTTTTGAAAGGTAAAAAAAAAATGAAATTACTTTAGCATGCTAACTATACAAAACCACTCTAGAAATTACAGATTGATAAGTCAAAAAATTTAAATACCTGGAAGATATACGTGTAGCCTATCTTCAGATTCTTGCTTCACAACAATTCCTTCCCACCATCCATCATTCCACCAAGCATCAACAACGCTGCCAACAATTGCTCCACAAACGGCATTCTCATAAGGTGAGGTTGGTCTAACAATAGTCCTTCCAGACAACCTAATTCCAAGTGCATCTGGCGCAGCCAATCGATATCCCATCATCCATTCCTACACATTTTAAGCATAGCAAAATGAATAAAAATTCCATGACCAATAAAAATCGGAAAAAATAAAACAGTACGTCAATAACAATGAACTTTTTACTCACCTGTAAATTCTTAGACTCGTCAATTGCATCCTTGAGATCTCTGTACTGCACTTTCACCTTATCATTGTGTTTCTTGATGATCAAAGCCCTAAACCAGCATCCCCTGATGCCACTGTCTTGAGAAAGCACCTCCACTTGGGATCCAATGGTCAAAAACTGGCTCGTCTGTACTGGTATGGCTATACTTTTCTCAGACAAAGACACACGACCTTCTCTAACACTTGGCCTTTTCACATCTCCTTTATAACTATCAGAATTCTCACCACAAACTAACAAACTAGCTCCAATGGTCTCACTATTGTCAGGCGACTTCAACTGTACATCACACTCCTTAGACCATCGAACCTTCTTATTTGGTCTAAATCCAACATCATCGGATAAAGACATTTTCCTCAATAACTCCTGTTTCCAATAACCTTTCACACGAGTAACGTCAAAAGGCTTCAACTCTTCATTGTCAAACTGTCTATAGCACACAAAGGGGGACAGCCCCATGCGTGCGGCCTCATCAAGACACTTGTCATAGTGCGCTGGACTGAGAACAGTGGCCAGTCCATCTATGCACTCGATACTGATATCTTGAAGACAAAGAGAAAAGAAAATCTCTCTGTCATTATCATTAGGAGACAAAACAAAACCAACCTCATCAATTCTGTGAAACCATCGTACCACAACCATCCTGTTGCCTCTGGTGTCTTCATACATATCGTCCAAGTAGGCAACGAGGCGTTTGTTCTCTTCTGCCAAGACATACACAAAGTCTTGAGCCTGAAAATAATCGATTAAAAGACCAAATGAGCATTAGAAAATTATTAGCGACACTATAATTTTTCAAAAAATTGAGAATTCGGGAACCTGTAAATACTTACAGAAATTACTGCACCATTGCGACAAAATGACTCATAGTGCCTTCTTCTTTTACGGCATATCCACGATGAACCTAACCAGGTGAATTCGGTCCCATGCTTACCAACCTTTGGCATCAGTGCAACCTATAAGGAAATGAAAATAAGACAACGAAGTCGTCACCTGAATATGAAAAGAGTGCAGTTTTTAAACTCAAGAACAACAAAGAAAAAGGAACAACAGTTCACCTTTACATCATCATTCAGCTTGCTACCTATTTCACCACCACATCTCCTAATAGATCCATTAGGGTGTTCGCCTGTAAAATTCATGCTCCTAATTATTAACACAGATTGATGGAATAAAAAATAACAAGCAAACTATGGTAGAGAAACCAAAACTCCATGTAAAGGGAAGTGAAAGAAGGAATCAGGAATTAAACATGACAGAAATGTTTCAAAATCTTAAAACCCTACTAATAACATAGATGCCTTAAAATCATAAAGCCCTACGAATAACATAGACAACGACGTTGGAGATACTCTAGACTTTATTATGCTCGGTGCTACAAGATAACCGGAAAAACAACAGAAAAGGCAAACGGAGACCAAAAAAACATTGGCCTACAGAGAACATTATAGATGTTAACCTATAATCGGAATGGGGAATTGCGAGTCTCTCAACCAGCTCTTAGAAATTTTGGCCTAAAATTCCTGCAGTCCAGATAATTGTTAGTCTTGCCTAACTATAGAGCATCACATCCACTGAAATGATGGAACTAACGATTCGCAAGACAAAGAAAAGATCAAAAACAGAAAGCCGACAGAGTTCAAAATAGATGCGAATTTCTAAGGGATGGGGCAAGAAGTTTCACATCTCCAACAAATTCAGAAGAACCAAAAAACGCAGATCTGGATACAGATGACATTGTGGTACTCGAATAAGGTAAGTTGAAAAGGAGAAAACACACACACACACACACACACACACAGCTCCCAGCTGGTAAAAGCCTAAGATCTCTGGAAAGGCCTCTCAGAACGAAAACCTCAGATCTCCCTTGGAAAATTAATTTTAATAAAAATTAAACTACATGAACCAAAAGGGGCAAAACTGATGAGGAAATCGACAAGCAAAAAAGAGCCATTTTCCCATCTGTTTCGGATATCTAGAGATGGGGAGAGGGAGAAGGGGAGAAAAAGAAGCTGGAACAAGCTTTACCCGCCAGAAACAGAATCAAGAACAGAACAGGAACTGGAGAATTTACACAGAACTGACTAAGAGATACCTATACAATGGATAGATTATTGGACGCGACCTATATGAAATTTATTCGGCACAGATCTAAGATACAGGACAAACAGACACAGAAGAATAAAAACTGAGATGCAAACAAGGCAGAAGGGATGAAGCAAAATAAATTTAACTCCAAAAGACACAATTTTTAACCAAAAAATCATTTTATCGACACGGTAACACGCCTAATTTTAACAAAAAAAAAAAAAACTACTTCAACCCCAAACAATTCATAGAAAAAGGGGAGAACAAGCACCTGAAATAATTGAATTGAGCCAATCCATGACCTCCCTCCTCGACCTCAGCTTCAACGATGGAGATCGATTCAGGACCGAAGGCAACAACTTGTTGTTCTTTATTTTGTAACGATAAGACATGTTTCTGGCGATCTTCTCCTTACCCACAACAACCAGATCTCTGCCACCGCCACCGCCGCCGCGCTTGAGGTAATAGCGAACCTCCCGCCGCCCCTTCTCGCTCGAAACCACCACCTCCTCCCAATCCACATACGACACCGTTGAGGTATTATTATTCTCCATAGCCCCCATGGACTGATTCGAAATAATATGGGAAATATTTGCAGACAGAAGAACAGAAGAAAAGGATGAGGATAACGGAGAGAGAGAGACAATCTCCTTCCTTCCGGTTTTTATTTTTGATTTTTTTTTTTAAAATCGAAAATAGATCTTAAATTTTAAAAGTTGTATTTATAGTGGATATCCTAGGGTTACAGGATTGGTATTGACGGTTGAGATTGCGTTTTTGAACGCGGCCGATAAAGCGGAGGAAATTCGCACGAAGTTGCATCTTTCGAGCGTTATTTCTTACTTTTGCCATAAGGTCCCTTGACTAGTGCAGATTTGCAAGATGTCTCACATTTATAAACTAGTAGCCAATTGCCCTATCACAAAGGCTGTATCAGACCGTCTAATTTTATTTTATTTTTCTAAAGCCATAGAAATTTCATTCAACTCAAGAGAATAATGCTCAAGAGAATAAAGAACCCCAATACAAGCCAAGAGAACCACAAATAGAGGAGTGGCCTAGAAACTGAATGAAACAACATAAAACCACAACATAGGACATCTAAGGTAGAGGTGGCCAGGTGCCGGTTCTCGGCCCGGCCCGTCGGGCCACGGGCCCTCCAACACATGACCCGCGACGGGCCCGCCTAAAAACAAAGGACCGGTTCACAGTACCGACCCGAATCGCCGGTTCACCGACCCGGCTGTTCACGGGCCGGTACGGTCCTTTAAAAAAAAAATTTAACAAGGTGACCCGCCGCCCGACTTGGCCCGGACCGGCGGGTCCAACAAAAAAATAAGGGACCGGGACCGAACCGCGGTCCTACGGGTCCCGGTTCAACGAACCGGCCCTTAAGTGGCCGGTTCGGACCAGGCCAGTACCAATTCGCGGGTCGGGTCACGGGCCGGTTCGGCCCGTGGCCATGTCTAATCTAAGGCAAGAAGGACGTGTCCCTTTAGATACAACCAACTAAGATGTAAAAACAATAACTAGATAGATTGAAAACTCATTAAGAACCATGGAACCCCAAAGGAGACTTGGAGCCATTTCTGATCAATCAAGCAGTCTCCTATTGAGCAGCTGAGGTGAATTTCATCCAGTCTGATAGGGTTGCTTTAACCACTTCAGTTTCATGTAGCACGGAGCTTTGGAATTTTCAGAAATTTCTAGATTTCCAGAGTCACCATAAGAGATATGTAGTCAATTGTATCATGTCTTCAAAAATCTCTTTTTTGCTCACTTCACAAATTCTTCTCCACTAGCACTTGAAGTCATTCTCCTCAGCTGCAAGTCCATCCCATGATAACGGAGCCAACTTCCAGATAAGTTTGGCCCTGTTGCATGAGAAAAATACATGTTCCACTGATTCAGGCATTTCTCCACAAGACTGACAGATGATATTAATATATAACCCTCTTCTTTTCAGATTAGTGCACACATGAAGGACATTGTTAAAACACTTCCAAATGAAAGTGTCTAAGCTTCTTCTTGATGTTAAGACTCCAGCTTCTTGTTCTAGCCTTTCTATCTAGATCAAACAAAGAGCTCCCTTCTATAAAATCAAACCACCTTAGCTTTTGATGCACTAAGTGAGAGTAGGTGCTAGCAACTGTAAAATTGCCTTTCTTGTTGAAACTCCACTTCCACTTGTCAGTTTGTTCATGGTTGAGGGTTGAAATACCTCTGATGGCCTTGACATCTTCAGGGATAAAAAGCTCATGCAACAGTCTAGTGTCCAAGTTCTACAATTCTCTTCAATGAGCTCAGCCACCCAAGTTAAATTACAATTCACACTTGTTTTCAGTTGGGGAATTCCAGTTATAGAGTGAGGTACCAGAGGTCAACCCATACCCTTGTAGAGGCATCATTTTTAATATCCCTTCTGAAACCTGACTTGTGCTTTCCCAGCACCTTCATCCAAGTTTGCCACAACCATGAAGAGCTAGAATGAAAAGACTGAGCTGCTTGCAAGAGAGATTCTTAAGCATAGTATCTCCCCTTGAGAATTTTACTTACAAGCAAGTTGGGGTTTGTGGAAATTCTCCATAGTTGTTTGAGAATCAGAGATTCATTAAACATGAGGATATCTTGAAATCTCAGGCCTCCTTTTTGTTTGGGAATAGTTAATGATTTCCAAGACCTAGTGCAAACCAGCTCTCTGGTCATCACCCTTGCTCCACTAAAATCCAGAACTAAGTTTGGTAAACTCTTGACATGTGCCCTTAGGAAGCAGGAAGTAGGACATGGTGAAAATGGGAAGTAAATTAATGACAGATTTAAGGAGCACTTCCTTACCAACAGACAAGAACCTGTTCTTCCAACATACCAGTCTTGATCTCACAACTTCCACAGCAAAACTAAAACATTCCTTCTTTGACTGACTAATACCAAGTGGTGAACCAAGGTACCTGGAGAAGTTATGCCTGCTAATTCCATTTAATACCTAACAAACTTTAATTTGGAGCTCATAGGAAGTGTTTTTGCTGAAAAGGATAGAAGACTTGAGAAGGTTGACTTTCTACGCAGTAAACCTTTGATACTTGCTAAGAACATACAGAAGAATCTGTGCTTGGGATGTGGAAGTAGAGCTAAATACCATTGCATCATCAGCAAATAATGCAAAGAAGAACCCTCTTTCCTCTTCTACCTTAAGCAATCTGGAAAACACTTCAGATACAATAATAAAGAGGTAAGGGGAGAGAGGATCCCCCTGCCTCAAACCTATAGAAGCTTGGACAAACCCAGTCAGTTTACCATTCAATTTGAAAGAGTAACAGGGAGAAGAGATACAAATAATAACCCATCTATTTGTGGAACCCCAGTTGAGTAAATTTTTTTTTAATGCAACTCCATTCCACCCTATCAAATGCTTTTTCCATATCTAGTTAAGCTGCCATAAAGCAACCTCTCCCACTTCTATGCCTAAAACGAAAACAAATTTAACAAAAAAATAGAAAAATACGATACGATAAATTAAGGTCTTTCATCTTCAAATAAACACGTCTCCAGGGTTGTAAACGAGCCGAGTTCGAGCTCAGGGAGAGACAACGAGTCGAGTCTGCCTCGGTTCCTTAAGTAAATGAGCAAAAGATCGAGCTGGAGTTCGATTTTTTTATCAATATTAGCTAGTCGAGTTCGAGATATTTTAAGCTTTAATGATGTCCACCAAACTGAATATTCCTCAAATCTTAACAGTATAATCTTACCATCCTCTATTATTTTATTCTAATCCCATCGTACCTAGCAAGCACAACCTTTAATGTTAACTAACCTTCAATTTATAAGAAAAAATTTTGCTTTATAACTGCTATCTCTTGTATCGGTTGGGTTAAAAATTATTTTACGGCAAAAGGAATTTGAGAATTGTTTGGTTACAGAATATTAGTACCTGACTTGCATTGATTTCTAGATTTTTTTGCAGTTTAGTCCCAACCAATTGAGATAATTTTAATCACATTTGTTACCCCTTGATGGCTTTATCTATCGCTAGGGATTTGAAAGCCCGAGACTGATACAATCATTTTGGTTGCAATAAAGGTTCGCAAGCGTGTTAGTTATGTAAAATCATTTCGGTTGCAATGAAGGTAAGCAAGCGTGTTAGTTCTTGTACTATAGGCTAGGTTTAGGTCCAACTTAGGTTAAGGCCCATCTATGTATCTATAAATATGTGTATATGTCTTTGTGAATAATACATCAGATATTTTTCCCACATTTTCACATGGTATCAGATTAGGTTTAGAGTCCAATATAAGCTCGGTATTTTATCGCTCGTTTCTGGCCACTGCCAAATCACCTCCCACACCATTCTCTCCAGCATCCTTCGGCGACCGTTCGCTGAAAATTTCGGCCAAAAAGGCGGTGCGTGGGGCCCACACTCGCCGAAACATAGCGACAGCGCCAGAAGCTTCAGCCGACGCGTGAGCTTCACCTCCTTTTCCGATCGCCGTCATTTTTCAGTCGTCGACTCCTCTCATCGGCGGCTACGTCTTGGTGTGTTTGGTTTTGGTTTTCTTGTCGTTTTTAATTTCGGCCTATATTTATATTTTGACGCTTTCGTGATCTGATTCGTGCCTATATTTTTCATATGTTTTGTGATATTGTGTTGATCTCAGTTTTGGATATGGATCGTATGGATGTGCATTCTCCTATTAATGTTGTCTTATCATTCATCTGATGGCTTCTATTTCTCTCAAGCCAAGTATGCCTCTGATCTTCTTGCTCGGGCCGACCTCACTGATTGTCAAACAACTTCCACACCTCTTGATTATGATGTTCGTCTTACTCCACTGGACGACTCTCTTTTTGAGGATCCTACATTATATCGTCAGTTTGTTGGAAGTTTGATATATTTGACTGTCACTCAGCCTGATATAGCTCATGTTGTTCATATTGTGAGTCACTTTATGGCTGCTTCGAGAACCACACATCATTCTGCTGTGTTGCACATTCTTCGTTATGTGAAAGAAACTCTATTGCATGATTTACACTTCTCGGCCCATTCTTCCTTGATGCTTAGCGGTTATTCTGATGCAGATTGGACTGGAGATCCTACTGATCGTCGTTCTATTACTGGGTACTACTTCTTTCTAGGGGATTCACTCGTCTCTTGGCGCAGTAAGAAGCAAACATTAGTTTCCAGATCGAGGTGCTAAGTCTGAGTATCGTGCTCTTGATGATTCCACCTCAGAGTTATTGCTGATTCCACCTCAGAGTTACTATGGCTGCGTCGACTACTTGCTGATCTTGGTGCACCTCAGTCGTCCTCTAATGTTTTACATTGTTATGGTCAGAGTGTTATAAAGATGTCTCATAATGATACCTTCATGAGCGCACCAAGCATATTGAGATTGACTGTCACTTCATTCGACAACATGTTGCACATGGGACTGTGAAACTTGTTTCTGTCTCCTCTACAGATCAACCAACAGATGTCTTCACAAAGTCTCTCCTTCCCGATCGCTTTTGTTCAAC